TTCGCACATGGGAGTCAAAAAGGCTTACCCTATTTTTAAAGAATTGACCGGGAACTTTTTTTTGCGAGGCCTTAAGTAATACTTGTTGTTCATATTACTACACAACTTGTGTTCTATTTGAATAAATAAATTTATCACCATCTGTGTTCAGTCTATGAAAGTTTACCACAAAATGATGTTAGCAAATTTCAAGATCAAGTATCATCTTAATACCTCAAATATTTACATTGTCTGCAAATTTTCAAGAAAAAAAAATCTGCTCTTTTGGGACGTACAGATATACTGTAAAACATTTTTATATAACTACATGCCATTTTAGCGAATTTGACTCAATGCATGAATTAACTGAATCTTAATTTAGCTAAAGTGTCAACAATCTCATTGTGAGAATATACTTTATTTTGAATCAGCTACATCTTGAATTAGTGAAATTACAGATTAGCGAAATTAGCTGAAATAACATGCTAGCTAAAAAGACACGTTTTACAGTATATTCCTTGGGGTTTCTGATCAGAATGTTTACCTAATTAGATTAATGACCTTATTACCACAGGTGGTTATTTTCTCAATGAGAACAAGTTGACAATGGGAATGAAAGAATTAAATGTTGTAATGTAAAATTTAATTCTAACATTAAGTTTTAGTAAAAAATAAATTAAGTTTTGATGTGAATAAATTCTTTCTTTAGAGTATGCTCGGCTCTCTTCTAAATTGAAAGTAGTGAAGGTCATTCATTTAACATTGCATATGATTCAATTATGTCTGCATTCTGAATACAGTGCCGTTATTTAGAGATATGACACAAACATCTTTGCTGAATTTTCCAGGGAGAATCCTGGCAAAATAATGACATACAAGGGCACAGCAGAGGGAGGCCATTTTGAATAAATGAGTCAGGCTGGAAAGACAACACACAACACAGACTGTATAAAACAAGGTTCTTTATTGATGACAGAAACGAAATACACTTCTAAAAGTAATCATCACTTTCAGACACAATTCTCAACACATCTCAATAAGCCTGGTTTTTATGTACTCATCTCAATTTTAAGTACATTCATACAAGTACAGATTATTCCTTTGGCCATCAGAGGCGCTTCAAGAGTGAATATTTGCACAGTGCAGCAGAGACTACAATGTATATAAAATCTAAATTGATCAGTTTATATCCCAGAATCCTCTACACACTAAGATGGCAGTCACATTGAAGCACAAGGAGAAATACTTTATTTTAGCTTGAATTAGCTGGTGCAAATTATTTTTCTTCATTTAGTTTTTATTTACTGTTGTTTTTTCTTTTCCGATACAATCTTTTAATGGGTAACCATTACAACCTTTGAAAGGACGATATAAGATGAATACATTATAGTTGTTGACCTTGAGTGAAGCACCATGATAAGGAGGCAACCTCAAATCGGAGTAATAGTTAAATGCTTATACACCCTTCAGAGGTTTCAAACCTTGCAATAAGTTTGCCGACACCGACACTAATGTGTTGAGATGAGTTCGTACACAACTACTGTACATCACAAGAAATGTAAACATATTTTTTTTTTTTGTACAACGCTGTACAAAGCTTAATTAAAATTTTCTTCCAAAACCATCTTGGAAGTAGCATGTATATATATATATTGGCTTTTTTTGAAAGTATCAAAAACTCTTTTTCTTCCATAAATTGAAGAAAGCAAACACCATTTTGCTTGTGGATAATAGGGGACAGGCGTACATTTCCTTAAAAAATAGGTATGCAAATAAAAACTATATTATAAAAATTAGAGACGTACACTATAAAACTGACTGCAGAATTTCTTTTAGCATTTGTACGTATAAGTGCACTTAAAAAAAGCTTACCAATAAACTGTTTAGTAACCATATCTTTTTTGTGGGCTTTTTTTAAGTACTTTTTCAATTATTAAAATAAAATCATACTTTTATAAAGCACTTGCATTTAATAACTTAGTGTTTCATCAAGATTGAGGGGAGGGGGTACTCTATGACATGACTAAAAGACTTTTGATAATTTGTACATGATTCTGTTCTGATCATATACTAAATTTTCAGCCAATGGCATGCTTTGTTTTAAATCCTCACCTAAAATTAATCAATATGCAAATTTGACACCTGGAGTTGCATAATTCAAATTTAACCACCAATCAGAGTTGAGCATTCCATAGTCACATTCATATGAAAGGTTCTAAGTGTAAAAAATAAGTAAAGGGGCAATATAAATTGGATGCTACTGCCAGTGATGAGGTCTTGTGTGTATATTATTAATATTTACAAAAAGAAACATGTGGATCAAGAGCATTCATTGAGAAGTACTGACAATAATCATAAATCTTATTAGCGATATATCTATTGATCCTCAAGACTCCTTGGATAAGTGTATGCCTGTAAATTATTAGTCAGGTCAACAGGTACAAATTAGCATAATTTATCATGGCTGAAATAAAAATGGCATCTTCCATTTCCAGACATGAAATACATAAAAACCCATCTTTAAAAATGAAGGGTAGAAAACCAATTTTCCCTGTACAGGGGGGCTTATTATTTGACATAGATGTCACAAATAAAAAAATAATCTGGAACCATTTTGTCTCAGATTTTGAAAAACAAGCTCTCAGATTTAAAATGATCTGAGCGCTCACATATTATCAAAAAAATTGTTCTTAAAATCTATAAATATTCAAATTTTGAAGGAGGTCAAAGGTGAACTTGCTGCCACGCACATAGAATTTACACATTTGGTGAGACGAAGAAAAAAAGCATTTCTTCATCCCCGTCTACATTTTGTCTACATAATAATACTAAGTATATGTCTATACAAGAAATGTTCTTTTTTTGATAAATTTGTCGAGTAGTTTCAGCATTCTAACTCAGTTGACGTTATAGCATTAAGATCTTTCATTAGTCCTTCAAGGTTTGCCATCTCGGCATTCAAATCTTCTGTACTGAAAGATTTACCCTGCAAATAGAAATCAATACTTAGTGAGATTCGGTAGCATGATGAAAATAATTTATCTTTATCATGCTGGGGCATTGCTGAATATTTGAGTTTTGAGTCTTGCTTTTACAGTGATTAAACGTACCAGCAGCACATATTTGTCGTTAAATAACAATGAGGCACTTCTGTGATGTCAAAATTATGTACATGGGTGAAAGCAACACATTCCTCATTTACAAAAACAAGCAGCCTCTCAGCTGTGATAACTCCGCTGTTAGCATTGCACATTTCAATTGAAGATATCATCACAAAATGAACAAATCCGAGAGAGGTCCATCTGTAGTACTTTTATGCATAACATCAAATAAAACAGACTTGAGGTTTTTAACCAGAAGTCAAAAATATCACTTTTTACCAAAAATGCCAAAAAATATTTCTTAAAATTAGAGAATTGAAGATATCATCACGAAAAGAATAAATCTGAGAGAAGTCCACCTAGAGTACCTATATGTATAATATCAAAGCAATCAACTGAGTGCATAATCTATATGAAGTCATGTACCACTCAAATACTTACATCCGCACTCAAATCTGAAGGGTCAGTTCCCCGGATTGCAACATCAGGAGCTCTAGGCATATTAACTGCTACTGGCTGCATTCTACTTTTAAGAATACCAGGTGAAATAAGTGGTGGCTTTTTATATGGAGTATTAGACATCGAAACTGGACTTTGTTTATCTGGAATGATATTGACATATATTTAGTAAACATAATTAATTCACATCCCACACCATAGAACCACCTTTTGCAATCCATCCAAGATGGCTGCCATTTGCTATAAGATTCTGAAACCAACATATTCTATAGACAATGAATGTATAACCTGAATTAATTCACATCCCACACTATAGGAACTATCTTTCCCATCCATCCAAGATGGCTGCCATTTGCTATATATAAGACTTGGTAACCAACAAACTCTCTATATACCTGGTAATGCATGTATAACCTGAATTAATTCACATCCCACGCCATAGGAACTATTTTTCCAATCCATCCAAGATGGCTACCATTTGCTAGAGACAAAAGATCCAGAAAGTCGGTAAATGGAAGGAAGCAGAGTATGCCGCAAAGGAAACCACTTACTGTTGTGTTTTGGTGGTGGTGCACCTGGGTACTGTGGGGGTGGAGGACCAGGAACACTGAAACTCTTGAGTGGATGCCCACTGGGTCGCGTTGTTGACAATGATGGTGGCAATGTCTTTGTTCCATCATCCGATGAAATTGTAGTATTGTCGCTATGGTAACCAGCTAAAGAGGCAGAAATAAGTCTAATGAATATATTATGCATTTACTTAAGAATGCTTGAAATACGGCAATCTGGCCAAGACCTGTCCTCAAACCTGTATTAACAATTGCTACTTAATGCTATATGATTAGCTTAACCATTGATGCTCAACATCCAAGTGCAGGTGATTAACGGCCCAAACCAGTGACAACCACTACCAACCAGTGGCAACTAGACACAACCAACCACTCCAATCAACTTAAAATGCAAATAAAACAGTCAAAGGGGTAGAAAACCATTCCCATTACATAGGTTAGGATCATACAAAAATTATATACAAAATAATATTTCGAACTAAAAATATTAAAGCATGACCATTTCAAGTTTGTCTTTACTTAAATAAAAATTTAAGATTTTCAGAATGGCTGCCCTACAATAAACCCAGGATAAATTTACAATTTTAAAATGGCAGCAAAGAAAAAGACAATCAAAAAAAAATGGTCAAGCTTTTATTGAATGCAAACAAAACAAATTACCTGAACTTGCCATAAACCCTGCCCTCTCGAGGGACTGAGACCGAGTCATAGGGTAATTAAACTGGGTCTTCACACGGAATTCTAGGTGGGAACAAAACAAAAACAAAAAAACAAAATAAAAATAAAAATCTCATGCCATGCATCATGCAAACTTAACTTAAAATTACAACAGGTGTACTACACTAACGCTAAGGAGGAGTTTTTAAAACTAAGGGAATAAATTAAGCATAAGGTTGTTTGCAAACTAATCATTACCGCACAGCTAAGCAGCATCATGCAGGCATGCATTAATCTAGAGCGCGAGTGGACATGTTGTGTTTGCTAGTTTCATGTTTGGTTGTTTTGTTTTTTCGTTTTACCTGTACTAGGGTGTTCTAGTGTTGGATTTCGGTTGACACTGGTAGTAACTGGAGTGTTGAACTGGGTCCTGGGGTAAGTAGGTCTCAGTGGTGGACTAACGCTGCCATTTGGCAGAGCTTTGGCTGTAGCTATGGCTGGTGAGACAACAGATAACACAAGCAGAACCTTCAATACCCATTTGCTTTTTAATAAAGACAGTTAAGGCAGCATGCTACCATATAGTAAAAGACTCGTAGGTTATACACAAACTGGGCCAAAAAAAATAACTAATGTAAATTTCATCCATAAAGCTTACTCTTACTTAACAGTTGTCTTTGCACATTAATGAATTTCAGAGTAGCATGGTACCTTAACTGTATGCAGGACAGTGCATATCAGACAGACAAAAACAACGGTTAGAGGAGACAGACAGGAGATGGACAGACAGATGGACAGACAGACAGACATAGTGACAGTATATACATTATACGCACAGTGCACCTCTAACAGACTGTAGCTAAATATGGTGCATTTCAGCATAAAGTAGACAGATACCACACTGCATGTAGGAATAATAGCGATGTATATGAAACAAAGTCATTTATATTTACGACATAGTCCATCCCAAAAAGACAACGAAGACTCCACAATCAAGTTTTAATATTCTTAATATATGGCTATTTAAATAATATTGTCATAATCTCATTTCTAACATCGTGGCTAGACCAAGACAGTGTTGGTGCTTCAATGATGCTCAATTTTATCAGGGGAATGTTTCAACAAGCATATTACTTTTAATTTAACTATATTGTACTGTATTTGCTGTACGTTCAATAGCAATGCATATCAATCAAAAATTGCATTTTTTCTATACTAGATCATTAATTATTTTGATAATCCTTGTAATTATGTAAGCATATGTGCTGCTACTCATAATAAACATGATACCATGCATTGTCAGTCCTCCATGGCTTAGCTAATTCAGTAAAAAGATATGTCCTGATGAAATTGGTGGCACTCTACATGTACCGGTACAAATCAAATTGTAGTGCTCTCTTAAGGTGAAACAGATCATATCTCTGGTTGTGTGCATATCTAAGTGTGAATTCTACAATCCGTTGATATACTTAGAAAGCAAACAGAGAGAAATAAAGCTTTCAAGACAACAACAGAGGAAACATTCAGCCAGCAAAGCCAATAACTACAACAAAAGGCAACTATCAACCAAATATGTCAGCTAATGTGTGGGGCACCATTTGGGGAGGGGGGGGGGGCACAATTATATTTTCTAACACATTATTTGCTAAAAAAAAAGTAAATGAAAAGTGTGTCTGAATTCAAAATAATAACCCATATAATAAATTTTAATTTTTTTGGAAATGTGCTCCCAATAGAAAAAGTATTTTCAGCGAAAGAAAAAAAAAATTCACATATTTTAACATGCAGATTTTATATCTTTATTACCCAGAGCTCGCTGATTACTGATTTGGATGTTCCCAATAACTCAAATTCATCCTACAGAAATCTTGGCCACCAGAGTGCTTTTTTTTTTTATTGTGCACATAACAGCCACAGGATTGACAGTTTTTTCGCCTCATCTGATAGGACGTCATCCACCAAACATGATATGCTGCTGGTCACTGACGAAAGAACTATTTTATTTTATTTTATGGGAGGTGACAAAATTTAATGATGGCAGGTTTATCATATTCACCAACCATGGTAAATATGATATATCGAAACCTTGTATTTTTGGCCTTAAAATGGCTGCCAATCGGCCATCTTGAATCGGATCATGATACAAATGCTGATGTATGTGTAATGTTTGAACTTGATCGGTCCAGGCATGTGAAAAATATGGGTCCAGAACTGCATTCTGTCAGCCATTTTGAACCCAATCCGAAAAATAAAATCATGTGCATCAAGGTGCCATTGTGTTCAATATATTTGTCAACTTTAAACAAAATCCATCCACACAATTGAGATGCAGTTCCAGAATGGTGATAATGATCGATTTTCATGAATTTTTCACCTTAAAATGGCTGTCATTTGGTCATCTTGAATTGGATCATGAAACAAATGCATGTGCACATGTCTGGTATAATGTCTAATGCATTATTGTGTTTATGTTTAAACTTGATCAGTGCGGGTATCTGCAAGATACAGGTGGATACAGACAGACGTACAGACAAGTGGATGCACAGAGGTCAATCCCCTACGCCTGAACGAGGAATAAAAATATCTAATAAGCTACCCAAACATTTACTGCAGCAGTAATATTACAAGGAACTTAGAAAGTATGAAAGGCCTACTTCTCAGAGAAATCAGACACACACAAGTCACATTGTTTATTTCAATGTCACAGCTGTCTAATAGTTGCACCAGTCAAATTTTAATTGTTAAAACACCCTGGTCAGTTTATAAACGTCAAAACAAGATAGAATCATTTATCAATATTTCTACTTTAAGGGTCTCTTGATCAGAATGAGGGCAGTGCAAATTATTGACAGCAAGTTAGAGGTGCTTAACTTACAAAATGGTTTGAGCTATTTCACTTACTTTCCCTTGGTTGTTGTGAATCTACTGGTATCATAATGGGCTTTCTTTTCTTTTCTAATGTTTTGTCTTGTGCAGTCAGATCAAGTTCATCATCACCTGTGGCAACAAACGAGATAAAATTGTTAGTGATCTCAGAAAATAAATTGTCAATACCAAGTTCTTTTACACTGTCATTCAACTCTTCATTATTATATCTGGAGCAAAGACAACAAAAATCTTGTATGGAGGCGTTTGAATGTGTTTCGACAATGTCAGAACAACAATTTTACGAATGCATTAGAATGCGTTATGGATGCATTTGAAGGATTTATGGACACATGTAAATCTTAATCACATTTGAACTTTTTCAAACACAGATATAAAATATCGTCACTGATCATGCAGACACGAATGTTGTTAAATCTCACAATGACGATACTTGTATAGTTATCATGAAAAACCGCAGTTGGGGATAACACCAACCACTAATATACGGCCGTTATGATTGTGTACTGCTTTTGTGCATACTTAATGTCTGCGTACTGAAATCTCCTTTGGAAGTTCATTCATCTGAAATTGTTTCTCGCAATACCAAACTTACCAGTGAAAGAATTTCTTTTTGTTATTGTATCTGACATAGGCGGGTCATCTAGTGGTTTCATATCGTCCTGGTGACGAGGAATCTGAGTCATTGGTTCCATCATTGGAGTCTTTTCCATTTGTTTTAACTCCATCTGGTCATGGTGGATCCAGAGATCCGGTGGTTTTACATCCTTGGCACCAGCTTTCTTAGCGCCACCCTTTGGAGGTGCTTTATATGCACCTTGCCTGGAAAGATGGAAAACACAAGGATATTATTACTGGATACCACAGATCAAAAAAAATAAGTACCATTATGCAACACCATCATAGAACTACCTAATATTACTACCCGCAATGAAATAAACCAGCCGACGTGAAAACATTAGGGATTTGATGTGTACTCACTTCCTCTTTTTTGCCATATTTTCATCAGCTCGACGTCTGCACACAATTATAGTTACGGTGACTATGGCAACAAAGGTCACACCAACCACGCATGCAATGATGATATAGAGAATACTCCTGGGTAAGCCTTCTTCGTCATTGCTGGAGGCTGAGCTGGTGGGGCCTTCTAAAAGGAATTATTAAAGATTACAATATCCAGCTTGATATAATTGACAGCAATTATTATTTATGTATCCCTAGGAAGATCACATTACATAGCGCAACATTCAGCAAACACGGTAACCTACACATTTTTTTCCCAGAATTTTTCACTATTTTATGTCAGGAAAGACAAATTTTGCAAATAATACCGTGTCACCATATCGTTGAATTCAGTGACATTTTTGACAAAATGTTTTCATTAACCGATTTACGGTATTTGTTCATGTGAACTGTCGGCCAGTCTGCACCCTCCCAATGGCATACAGGTGGGCAGAAATGTGCCATGTAGTCATAAGATATTAAAGACGTGCAGGAAACCTTTTTAATTTCAGTATTTCAAACATTGTTGCCTAGACATGTGGTGGTGTCTATAGAACACTTATTTAGGGTTTGTATGTGTATCGTAAAGAAGAAAATAATAGCGGTGTCTGTTGCTACAGTTATAAAATTGAATGTCTGTGTTCTGGGTAACCTAGCAACTCATTATTTTCACAGTAGATCATGATCCAGGTCTAATCCGTGCATGATAGTTGTCAGACATAGACCTTACTAAATTTTACTGCAATGTGGGCTAGTTTTGACTTAATCGAACCGTGATCAAACCAAACACAGTTCGCCCAGTCATGCAATGTGAACTACCAGTAACTACCCCACAATGCACTGAAATTTAGAATTGCGATAAGGTCTATGAACATGCTTAGCAATAAAGTAAAATGATACCACACTGTCGGTCTGTAAACGGCTAAATAACTGACACACCATACAAGTCATGTCACAATGACAGAGAAAAGTAACAATACAGTTGCAGCAAAGAAAGCAGATGCTCTGAGATATGATTGACATTTAGAAACACAACCCAAAGAGACAACTGTTCTCAAAACTAAGACTAGCCAATATACGTAGTGCTTATGAACCAAGGCCAACTTCTTAACTGGATAATTTTTATAATTATAACATAGGTCTTCAATGACTGAAATTTCACTTCTTGGCATCCCACCATAGCATCGTGAATGAGGCTTTATAGCGCCCTCATACTAACATTTTGAGAAATCTTCTTGTGTGTAATTGCGTATGTAAACAGGAGGAATGTAATTCCTTAAGCAATTTTAATTCAGACTGGATAAGAAATTCTCCCAGGGCTACTTGTTTCTTTTCAAGATACATGATAACATTGCAAGTTATAAAGTCAAACTATTTTTTCCCCCAGATAAAAGCCCTGTAATAAGTTGACTACACTGTCAAATAGGGAATAAATTCAAGATGGGCTGACAATCGCGAATAGTGACTAAATTCAGAATTAGCGAAGAAAATGACAATCTGTATATAATAAATTAATAAAAGGACAGTGATGGTATAGCTGACACTCACCCCGTCCATTTAGTTTATCACTGTCTTGATGGCTTACAACAGATCCATCATCTAAATACACCAAATACAGAATACAGTTCAGAAATATGCATATTTATCAATATTTATAGTTAATATAGTTGCTATAACATTATTACCTCACCACACTGAATCTGGTTTAATTTCATAATCTTATTGTCGGCCATGATGTATTTGTGTTGAAAACAGATGACCTTTCACCTATCCACAATACAAATTAAATGCCAAATACGGCAGATTTGATAGCCACCACGTGAAATTACGTCTAAAAAAAAATCTAGTGTAGTGAGGTTCAAATCTATCTAGTGTGTTTTTTTTAGATGCAGGGTGGTTTGCAATGCAATAAGTTAGCACACATGCTAGACATTCATTTTGCAATAGACTACTAGCAACAAAAGCAATAGGAGAGGGGTGACTAAACTACTGGTTTATTACAGATAAATAGAATGTACTTCAAGTTAAGTTTATAGTAATCTAATCTACTACACATTTATAAAAAAAAAAATGACAGCCAAAATAGATGAGTATGTTTGTGTTACCTCACCCACATGACTAGTGTTATTTTAAACTGTAGAGGGCAGTAGACACTGCATGGCCAGCGCCCTCTGTAGTTGAGAACAGTGCCCTCAATAGTTGAAGATAAACATTTCAAACACAAAAAGTTATTCAGATTTTGAAATGGACTGACAGTACAAATTGTGGACAAACAAAAAAGAGTGAGAGAAAGACTGCAGGCCAGTAATTATTAAAAGATTTAGAAAGTTTTTGATCAATGTTGGGAGATTAGGTCAACACAAACAAAGGCATTGTACAGAATTAGATTAGAGTTTTTTTAAGAAAATGTCACATGAGAGTAGTTTAACTGCGCTCTAAATTTATTTGAACACGTCACTCTCACTATGTGAATTGTAAATAACAGAATAAGTCAGCAGCAGACCAGTGCACCAACTAAGCGACAAATAACACATTTTAATACAAGGACACAAACACACATGAGCGAATTGCAAGGCATTGTGGGAAGAGTATATATAGGAATTTCAGTGATTTGTGAATGAAGGCCAAAACTACAGAAATGTGTAACAATCTATAAAGTCTCTTGGTTGTTTTTATTTTCTGTGTCTGTGTAATCATCTTTCACTACATCTAGCCCAAATTATTAAGCAAATTTCTTTACTGTAAAGTGGTTGCTGATGCTACAAAATTTGTGAGACACACAGAGATGATATACACAGATAGCTTTAAATTATGGGGGGGGGGGGGGCACATCGTGTTCAATATGGGTTCCATACGATGTTTACAATGTGTGTAAAATCTGAACACGCACTGCACAATGACAACCACTGCTTCTTAAATGCAATTACGACCACTTGAGTGTAATTTCATGAATCCATACAACAGCATATTGCCGTACTCTACCGCATTAGCGCCCAGGGTCCTCAACTCAGAAAATCAGGATTTTTTAGGGGTGGGCGCTTACACGAGCACCCCCCTTGGAAAAGAGTGCAAATGACAATTTTAATGGTCAAATATACACAGAATTTATTACAATATTAATTAGGTACCACCAACATTTTTGAGATTAAAAATACGTGGAGGGTGGGCGGTCGAGTATGGTATTATAAAAGTTGCATAGCACAGGCTCATGAATATCACACTTTGTAGCAACAAGCTTTCTAATTGAAATAATCAAAATGCTCCTAGTGTGTTACTAATGTCAGATGTCCTATGACTTGGTCTTACCTTTGGGTGTTCTGTAATGCAAAACCTCAGAAGAAGGACCCACACCTTGACTATTACGTGCTTGAATCTTAAAATAATATGATGTGTCTACGGTGAGGTCTCTTATTATTGTTGTGAGTCTATCACCAATCAGTGGTTCAATGACCCAGTCATGATCAACTTTCTGGTTGTCCGTTGTATAATAGATGATATAACCTACAGCAAAAGAACAATTTTGTAAATCATACTGATTTACTTAAAACACTAAAATTAAATGTCATTCATTTCATACTCATATCTAATATATTCCATAAATTCAGAATGCAGAAAATAAACAAGCAGTCTATCGGCTGAGATAGCTCCGCTGTTAGCAAAGCACATTTCAATTAAAGAACAGAAGATATCATTAGAAAATGAATATGTATAGTATCAAGCAATGGGACTTGCTGTTTTCAACAAGAATTCAAAAATATCACTTTTTACCAAAAATGACAAAAATATTCACCAAAATTAGAGAATTAAAGATCTCATTACAAAATGAACAAATCTGAGAGAGATCCACATGTAGTACCTATATATGTAATATCAAAGCAATTGCACTTGCGGTTTTTAACACAAAGTCGAAAATATCACTTTTTTACCGAAATTATTCACCAAAATTAGAGAATTAAAGATATCATTACAAAATGAACAAATCTGAGAGAGATACACATGTAGTACCTATATATGTAATATCAAAGCAATTGTACTTGCGGTTTTTAACAAGAAGCCGAAAATATCACTTTTTTACCGAAATTATTTACCAAAATTAGAGAATTGAAGATATCAACATGAAATGAACAAATCTGAGAGAGGTTTACCCAAGGTACATATACACCAAGTATCAAAGCATTCAGGCTTGTAGTTTTTAAGAAGAAGTTGAAAAAGTAAAACATTGACACGGACGACGACGGACAATCATTCATATGATAGGCTCTGCTCGACAAAGTCGACAGCGGAGCTAAAAATATTGTAGAGGGATGTCAGACAAGATAGATATTCACAATGATGCACTACACAAACTTGAATTCTCTCCCATGATGCATTGTACATATTCTCAATCGATGCAAAACTTCTCCTTTTAAAGAAGACATTTTATACATTCACAGCTTACCAGTGATAAGTCCATTGGGTGATTTTGGTGGTTGCCAATTCAAATTCAAGGCCGTCGGATCACCTTCCACAGGCACAGCTGTCAATGTCTTCGGTGGAGCACCGGGTGCTACAAAAAGAACAATATTATGCCCTGTATCGCAATTTTTCACAAAAAAACATTCTGATGCAACATTATTTTATGACTTTAATACAAGTTCTTTGTTTATTTTTAAGATTTGGAAAAATGGACTAACATTTTTTAGAAACTTATACAGGTGACTTCACAGGGTTAGTTTTTATTATGTTTAATTTACTATCCAAGTAATCGGTGTGGATTATTTTATTGTATCATGTTATGTTGAAAATAGCATTGGGACAAAACGGACTATATAAATCACATTTTGCAAACCATGGAAGAACGGGGATATTTTTATTCTAGAGTGGACCATGCATGTAACATAGGTCTCATCACTGAATACCAGTTCTATTCATATATAGTTTCCATATACATGCCCCCCCCCCACTAGTATGATCAAAAGATGAAATTTTTATACACCTCTGAGGTGATGATACACTTGACTGACTAAAGTTGTCTTAACACTATTTTCAAAACAACGAGTTTCAAAAACCTGTAGTTTCTGTCTGCTAATTATTTTTGTTTGGGAAGAAATCAATTCACGAAAATAATTAGGTGTTGTATTCGTTCTTTCTTGTTAAACATAGAAGGATACACTAATTTACAGGGGTGAAAGACACAAGTAATACTTACGAGCTTCAGATGTTTTATTGGAGACCGCCAATGACCAATGACTTGACCTTCGACCTTTTGTGACTTTCACTGCAAATTCGTACACAGTACTGGACTTTAAATCGTCGATAGTGTATTCAAATGATGTAGAATTTACCATCTTGGGTCTGCAATAATAATTTTTTTTTGTATTTTTTATTATTATTGGGAATGCACAATCTTTAGTGGTTTTTTGGATATTCAATGTCCAATAAAAATCACATAGGAATATGCATGGTGTTTACTTCCTTCATCTCCAAGAAAAAGTTTTCAAACAGAAAGAGTTTTATTTATCATAATTTAGCAGATTTGAAAACCAAAATGGCCACTAATCAGTCATATTGGATCAAATAGTAAACTAGAAGCCTGTCGGCTGAGATAGCTCTGCTGTTAGCAATGCACATTTCAATTAATATATGTATAATATCAAAGCAATTTGACTTGTGGTTTTTAACAAGAGGTCGAAAATATCACTATTTACCAAATATAAGAAAACAGTCACCAAAATTAGAGAAATAAAGATATCATCATAAAAATGAACAAGTGTCACAGCATTCAGGCTTGTAGTTTTCAAGAAGAAGTCGAAAAAGGAAAAAGTAAAAAGTTGACACAGACGCCGCCGGACAATCACTCATATAATAAAATTGATATGCATATGCAAGTCATCATAATCTTTGTGTTAAGTTTGAATGTGACAGGACAAAGCTTGTCTAAGAAATAAACAGAACCCAAATTCTGATAGTCTCTGATTTCAGACTTAAACATGAACTACCCAAATTACAATTAAAATTTCATTTATATTATTAGTCTGCTGACTAAAAGTATTAGGTGGAAAACATCTAGACCAAGAGGTTTGAGTTATCATGTGGCAATCCTTTACAACAACCAGCATTTTAGTATTATACCTAATTATTATACATCTGTCACCGTGATTACAGCGTGCCGTAATTTTGCGGTATTTTACGGGGTATTTTCATCCTACCATATCGAGAAATGCAAATTCCAAATATGGAATGATTACGTGCGTAAGCGCTCTCTAATAATAAAAACAAACATAGCTGCCACCACCACCACCAGTCTCCACGCAAAGAAGTTCGCTGATTTTGTTCAAAACTTTTTGGATTTCGACTTTCCCATGATGTAACCTTGGAAGGAAAAGATGTACAATAATAAGGTTATTACGAGAATACCTTGAAGTATGCACTCTGACAGTACACCATCACATCGACCTGCGTGTCGGTCGATACATCTGCTGTACTATCTTCATGCATACTTTAAGGTATCCTTGTAAATAACCTCATAATATACCTACTTTGAACCAGCTGGATAATTAGTTTTATACATTATAGTATAATATCTATTGTCTGTTATCCGTTGCTTATTCAGTGTTGAATCAGCCCATACCACTTTCACTGCCGTCGCTGACAACACAATTGCCTTGACACCAACCGGAGGATACATGGGTGTCTGGGGTTCAGGAGCTGATGAGTGGTAAAAGTACATGAATCACTAAGGATTAGGAACAAGCGTGAAGAGCATGACTCACTTAAGGTTATATGCGGTGGACAGATGGACATAAATTGAATATTATTTAAATTCTTGGAGATGATCATATAATCCCCTCAAAACCAAAAAAACCCTAATATACACAACTATTCGATTCACTCATCTGCAGGCACCTATAGTTAACAATTGCTGCTGCAAAAAAAGAAAAAAAATAGCACCTTTCCTGTTGAGAATCTAAATCAAATAAATAAAGGGTTCTTTTAACAGAATATACAAAAGTTCCCCAAAACAGAAAGTTTTGGCAAGACAATTTATACCGCACAATAAAAATAACATATCAGGTTATTGCACGACATTATAAGATAGCATATTGCTAACATCTAGATCTCATGATTAGCAACTAACAAGAAATGGACGATATTTTAAGTGAAATTTCACGGATAACCTTAAACTGTACATACAACACATGCCAAAATTGAACTTGGTTAATAGCCTAAACTGTTTAATAGTAAGTCTGAGAGTGATTAGGTAAAAACTGTTGCATTAATGTAACCACAAGAAAAAAGACAGAGACAACAATGACTACGATGACAGATATTTTCCCCTTTTAACTTTTCCTTTATTGGATGATTGAGCTCTGTTAAAAAAAAATTATCGAGAGAAGCCACACAAAAATCTATTACCCAGTACTAAGTTTTTCTTCCATCTCGGTACCAAAACTTTCTAGCAGTCAACCACCAATTGGATTCAAAACTTTCTAGCAGTCAACCACCAATTGGATTCAAAACTTTCTGGCAGACAACCACCAATTGGATTCAAAACTTTCTAGCAGTCAACCACCAATTGGATTCAAAACTTTCTAGCAGTCAACCACCAATTGTATTCAAAACTTTCTAGCAGTCAACCACCAATTGGATTCAAAACTTTGTAGCAGTCAACCACCAATTGGATTCAAAACTTTCTGGCAGACAACCACCAATTGGATTCAAAACTTTCTAGCAGTCAACCACCAATTGGATTCAAAACTTTCTAGCAGTCAACCACCAATTGTATTCAAAACTTTCTAGCAGTCAACCACCAATTGGATTCAAAATTTTCTAGCAGTCAACCACCAATTGGATTCAAAACTTTTTAGCAGTCAACCACCAATTGTATTCAAAACTTTCTAGCAGTCAACCACCAATTGGATTCAAAACTTTGTAGCAGTCAACCACCAATTGGATTCAAAACTTTCTAGCAGTCAACCACCAATTGGATTCAAAACTTTCTAGCAGTCAACCACCAATTGGATTCAAAACTTTCTAGCAGTCAACCACCAATTGTATTCAAAACTTTCTAGCAGTCAACCACCAATTGGATTCAAAATTTTCTAGCAGTCAACCACCAATTGGATTCAAAACTTTCTAGCAGTCAACCACCAATTGGATTCAAAACTTTCTAGCAGTCAACCACTAATTGGATTCAAAACTTTCTAGCAGTCGACCACTAATTGGATTCAAAACTTTCTAGCAGTCGACCACCTATTGGATTCAAAACTTTCTAGCAGTCAACCAAAACTTGATATATACTGTAAACTGTTATTAATTTTCACATTTCAAAAATTTTATGGTATTCATAGGAACTGCAGAAAATTGTTCACTGCCACAAAATTTCACAATTATCAAAATTCTCAAAGATTTGTCTCTCGCTAAATTGTAAACTGCTTACAGTATATCATAAGCTTAAAATATATTGCTTTTAATTCCAGATTCCCGAATTGATAGGGTTTGCATGTTTATCGCTTGTGTATATTGCATGACATGACGTCAACAAACCGGAAGGTAGGACAGATTTTGAATATTCTAAACGCCTTGAGTATCAGTACACTGCTTGTCTGTGTTTCCAACTCGCACAGCATAAAAAATCACCTCAAATAAAAGGGCAATCATCTTTTAACTAACTTGTATCAGCATCTGAAAATTTACCCATTGTTCTGCCTAAGCAAGAAAAACGAATATGCGAATTATCTTTGGGAATATAATGTTGAAAAATTATGTCACGGTCATATTTCACTCTTTGAAACACACGCGCACAATCTTGTTTTCTCCTTATTTCCCCTAAAAAAAAAATCACCTTTTTCAACTGATAATCGTCTTTTCTTAGCTATGTTATATAGTTCTTCTATCTGCCCCTTTTGTACACACCCATGTTCTCTTTGCTATCTTTTAAAAACTGTTTTGAATATACTACTGACTTCTTGTGGGGTTGCATGTCTATTGTTCTGTTTTGACTTTTAATATTTCTGTCCTACCCTGGCCTGTTTGCTTGGTAGGTTACTCATGCGCAAATAGAATTACATCACGTCTGTCAGTAATTCAGGAATTAGAAACCAATTTTCCAACCTTGAGTAAAGACTGTTCACAGCATGGATGCATGTACTGGCCATACAATGTATGTGAAAATTTGCAAAATATGCATTACGAATTGTGAAAAGCTGTTCGTGGCAATATGGCAAATAAATACCGAAATGTAGCATGTGAAGAGAGCTTGCCAATTAAAATGGCTGGTTTACAACCCAGCTTTTGCAGATTGGTCAAAGGTTTGAATCACAAATACAAGTATTGAAATGTTACTTGCATGGCATACATTTTTTCAGCCTGTACATACATCCATAGACTGAACTAACACTATGTTGCACCTTTCCAGATATTGACAAACTATTAAGGATAGTCTGGAGCACAAGCTAAAGAAAGAAAAAAAGAGCAAGGAATGCTGGGAAATTGTCCTCAGTTTACAGGTATGTTCACACCACCCACCAAACGAATGGAATGAACATAGAAACATGGTATGATTTCAGCATGATTATAGATAGCACCTTACTTGTGGTAGTGGTCCGGACTGGAGGTAGAGCTATGGCAGCTTGTGAGTGAAAAACATGGGAACACACCCACAGGTTAGTGAGTTTATGAAGGTTTGTTACGGAAAGACAAAGAAAAGATAGCAATAGCGGTATGGTTTGGTTTGAAAGCTTGAGGGGTCTGCTAAAATATTTTCGATGCAAATGGCAGTTTATATATTTTCTGAAAGCCTGAATGTGTCATAATGCTAATATTTGGCATCCAAACAAAGAGCATTTCATTTCAGCATTAAGTCGAAAGAAAGAAGTCAAATAAACATAAACCCATCAAGCTAATAATTTCAAACCAAGTTTATAGAAGGTACAGAAAACAGAAATAAATGCAGGATGCAACCAGGGTAGTATGATAATGTGGCATAAATGAACAGAACCTAGGAAATTTGGAAACAAAACATTCTACAGTGTACAGTGTACAGGTAGGTGATATGACAATAAAATGATGGGTTTGACACAATGTGATAGCATGCTGCTGTTGATGTACGCCTCTGGATTTTTACATGACAACCATAATAAAGCAATGTGCACAAATTACAGAAATGGGCGATGGTTCTAGGCAGACTCTGGAACATTACATGACCACTATAACAAGACACTTTGTACAAATTATAGGAATTTGTGATAGTTTTAGGCAAACTCTGGAACATTTAATACATAACCACCAGAACAAAACACTATATGCAAGCTATAGAAATGGGAGGTGGTTCTAGAATTATTGACAGATCAGTGGACTCATTTAAATAATACGCAAATTCAATATAATAGATAGACGCAATTGGCTGAATACCAAATTTGCATATTAATTTGAATGAACTCAATCGGTCTTTGATAATTCTCTATCACCACTTATTTGCATCACGTGAGACAAAGACTGTGGTTGTCAGTGATTATGCAAATGAGATGAACATGACAAAATGAAATTGCAATGATTAACATAAATGACAATCAAAATGAAGAAATTCAATGAAACTTTGCATACAGAATGCATACATAACTAATTTAGTTTAGTTTTCACGATAAAAGTTCATTGAGTTAGATTTCCTATTTCGAAATATAAATCTGTACACATTATGTTGAAAAAGAAAAATTTTATAAAAAAAAGCAAGGAAAAATGGTTGCCTTTGTTAGTTGGAAGGATCAAGAAAAAAAATTGTCATGCAGGACCAGATGGAAGGAACCAAGGCATTTTGTTCGTATGTGTAAGGTACTTTCATATATTTTATTTTAATTTAAATGAATGCATTAATGGACTTTTGAAAAGAGCTTAAAAAGTATATTCTTATTTTTTCAAAAACAAAGATAGCAAAATCATTTCTTCAAATAGATACCATTGAGATTGTTTGTTACTATGGAAACAATAGCCTTAGACGCATCACTTTAGTACTACATGAACCAAATATCATCTACCATTTTTGAACTATAATGAAGTTCCCTCCAATACATTTGCCAACAGTTGGTTTTGATATGAATACTAACAATCCCGTACACGTGTACGAGTACTTTTCATTTTCCACAAACAAAAATTTGATAAAGTGTACAGCAAAAAGAAATATTTTCGGTTTATTATGAATCATTATCAATTTATTAATTTCTTACTGCACCTCTTAAATTATTGGTAGTTGAGAGGTCACGTTTTATTTTATAGTACTAAGTGGAGGAGACGTACAACATACAAACAAAAATAGCTGGTACTTACTACTTTCTTCACGAGTAGTAACTGTTTCATAGATAACATTACCAGAACCCTGTCTGTTATATGCACGTAAAGATATAACATATTGCGAAGCTGGAAGAAGGTTAGGTATTGTGAAATGCCTTTGGTTGGCATCGAAATTCCTCATTTTCACGTCTGGTATACCAAGTCCATAACCAATTGTATATCCACGAACCATGATGTTCAAGTCAGTTCGTGGTTGGGTCCACTCAACATGAATGTTATCCGTCATGGGATAGACTTTCAAAGAAGTTGGAGCTGGTGGAACCTGAGATTCTGTAAAACAAAGTACGAGAATCAAGGTGACTTCTCAAACAATCACAAAACAATATGATGTGCATACGCACAAGTATGCAGTATTATCTGTGTGCTAATCTGATCATTACCTGCAAGTTTGCTATCACGTATTAAGTCTGTACCAATCGTGGAATGAATACTGTGGAATACTTTATTTTAGCCGGAATTAATTTTCGCTGTAAAGACTTTTTGGGTGTGTTGTATGGAATTTATTTTCACCAATTTTTGATAAGTTGAATATCGGAAAAAAACATATTTGCTGGAAAATAGCGAAAATAAAATCTATGTAAAAATAAAGAATTTTCAGTACTTGGTGGGAAAAATCATTAGTCCTAGTTTCAAATGAAACTAACTTTATAAATCTGCTTCGACAACAAAATAATAGGTAAATTTGAACTTTCAACCCGAAGCGTACATCTGAGAAGAGTTCTGGTCAAATAGACGTTTGGATGTCTGCTTACCATCAAGATCATTAGGCAGTGTGCTTTCTCCCATCCATTCAGTTGAAGGGCCTGTACCATTGACAGTCATTGCAGACATTCTAATTTCGTATCTTGTATCTTTTGACAGACCTAGAAAAATAACGCAAAACTACTAAGTACTGGCCATATACTGTTCAATTTCACGCTTCTTACAAATACAGTACACACGCTTCTTACAAATACAGTACACACGC